ACGGCCGCTACTGGCTCGAGGCGTCTCAGACCATGTACCCGGAGTGGCAGTTGATGAAGGATGGTCACCCCGACGTGCCTACATTGGAGGAGTGGATATACACCAACCTGGGCCCCACCACGCCGGTGGGGATGAACAGCTACCTGTCAACAGTGGCGGATTGGGAGCGGCGGCGCAAGACGATCAACTTGGTGCCGGTGCCGGAGATGGTGCAACCGCTCATGCCACCCTCTGGGGAACCGTACGCGGAGCTGTTCGCTCGCCCTGAGGAATTCTGCGGACAGCGGTGTGAGGAAAAAGTTGCAGCTCTCGTGGCAGCGCTGGAACAACAAAAGTGTGACGTGATGGTGCTCTCCGCGCTGGATGAGGTGGCATGGCTTACTAACTTGCGCGGTACAGATGTGCCGTTCAACCCTGTATTTTACGCGTATGCCGTGGTCCAACGCGCCACACCAACAGTGCATCTCTTCACACACGCACAAAAGTTACCGGAACAGGCGAGTAAGGCTGCAACAACGACGGCAGGAGGAAACAGTGACGCTCTGCTGGAACTGCACCCGTATGACGGGCTTGAGGCTTACCTCCGCACGCTGCCGTGCGGATCAATGTTCGCCGTCGATTCTTACCAGACGAGCCAGCGGCTGTACACAATGCTGGAGGCGCTGGGGATGCAGACGCGGCGTCTTAATTGCGGCCCCGCGCAGCAGTTGAAGGCGACGAAGAATGCGGTGGAGATTGGGGGCTTCCGCCGCTGTCACGTGCGTGACGGAGTGGCTCTGACACGCTACCTGGCGTGGCTGCACCACGCGGTGGCGCTGAAAGGTGACAGCAGCATCACCGAGTACAGCGGGGCCGAGCGACTGGAGGCGTTCCGCCGCGAGGAGGCGCACTTCGTGCAGCTCAGCTTCCCCACAATCTCCTCGGCAGGGCCTAACGCTGCCATTGTGCACTACACGCCGCCGCGGGATGGCTCCGCCCCCATTGCGCGCGACCAGCTGTACCTCGTCGACAGCGGCGCGCAGTACCTCGACGGCACGACGGACGTGACGCGGACCGTCTGCTTCCAGCCGCCGCGGCCGGAGGAGCGTGAGGCGTACACTCTCGTTCTGAAGGGGAACCTCGCGTTGCACGACGCGGTGTGGCCCGCCGGCACAAGCGGCCACCGCCTCGACGCACTCGCCCGCATGGCGCTGTGGCGCTGCGGCCTCAACTACACGCACGGCACCGGACATGGCGTCGGCTCCTTCCTTAATGTGCACGAGGGGCCGCAGGGCATTGGCATACTCCCCACACCAACAGGAGCGACACTCGCCGCTGGAATGGTGATGTCGAACGAGCCGGGCTACTACAAGGATGGCAGCTTTGGCATCCGCATCGAGAACCTCGAGGTGGTGGTGGGCGCTGACACAAAGTACAGCGCGAAGGGGTACTTGACATTCGACACCCTCACCATGGTGCCGCTGTGTCGCGAGTTGATTGACGCAGCAGCGTTAACGGAGGAGGAGCGGCGGCTGGTCGACGCGTATCACCGGACCGTCTGCGAGACGCTTACTCCACACCTGCAACGACACAATGACAGCTGCGCACTCGCATACCTGGAGCATCACACGGCCCCACTCTAGGGTAACATTGTGCATGTGGGTATCTCTTTTAGACATGGTGGAACAATTTCTCTTCAGGTTCTCTGCTATCGTTATTTTATCCGTTGTGCCACGTGAATTGATCGCAACTAAATGAGGGGGAGGAGGCGTCCTTTTTGGTTGCGTTGAGTCATATTGATGCTTCTGCCGCTGCAGTTGTTGTTGATGTCTGTGCCGTCCCTTTGATGCACAGGCGGTTGATCTGCGTACTCATTCCTGCTCTCTTCCTCTTCTTCTGCTAGCACGTCAAGCTTACTCAACTCGCCGTCCAACCCACGGGTCAAGCATGGCCTCTGGTGGTGCCGAACTCAAAGCCGAACTCCGTGCGGGCAAGCCCAAGTTTGGTGTGTTTCTCAACGCCGCCAATCACCTGCTCGCCGGGCAGTTCAGTCACTCCGGCTACGACTGGCTGCTGATCGACGCACAGCACTCCCCCGCTGACTCGATGACGCTCAGTCAGATGATTTCGGCGATCCGCACCGGCCCTGCGAAGGCGATGGTGCGCGTGACGAGCACCAAGGACCGTGCCGGCATCCAGAACGCGCTCGACTCCGGCGCCCACGGCGTGCTGATCCCGTACGTGAACACCGCGGAGGAGCTGCGTGAGGCGGTGTCGTGCTGCTTCTACCCCACCGCCGGGACGCGATCTGTGTACCAGCCGCAGCAGTGCATGAACGAGCACGGTCTCCTTGGCTACGCTGGCGAGGCGAATAAGAATGTGGTGGTGGCGTTTCAGGTGGAGACTGCCGACTGCATCAAGAACATTGAGGAGATCATGGCGGTGAAGGGTGTCGACATTGCGTTCCTGGGGCAGAACGACCTGTGCATGTCGATGGGTCTCTACGAGAAGTACGTGTTCCCGCAGATGTACACGTCGCCGGAGCTGGGCGGTGCGACGGACAAGCTTGTCGCGGCGGCGCGCAGGCACAATGTTATCCTTGGTCTGTTCTTGTTCGGCACGGACCGCGTTGGGGAGTTCCTGGAGAAGGGCTTCACCTTTATCAGCATCGGCAGCGAGCTGCACCACGCCATGACGCAGGCGCAGACGCATGTGAAGGCCCTCGAGGGGATCGCCAAGGAGAAGGGCAAGCCGTGGAAGCACCAGCCGAGCGCCCTCGTCTGAATCGGAAAGCCCTTGCGATAACGTGATGGCATCTGGCTCCCCCTCTCACGCAAGCTCACAGAGGCAACCGAGAACGATGTTTCGGTTTCGGTTTTTGTGGCCACTTTTTTTTTCTTCTTGCGTATGGCTTTTTTTGGGGGGTTTGGGGGATCGGAGGAAAGACTGGCAGATTCATATTGAAATGCTTCTGGTGGCTCATGAGCCGCTGTGAGTGGATGTTATTTTCCTGGTGGTGCGAATCAACGGGGCGTTTTCACACTTTTCTTCACTCGCTGTTTTTGTTTTGTCGTGTTTTCTTTTTTGCTTGGTTGGCTTGGGTGGGGGGGGGGCGGGNGGGGGGGGGGCGGGTGTGTTTGAAGCAGAAAAGAGAGACACCATCCAAGGCGTGGAAAGAGAAAGCGGGGAGGGCTGCTTTTTCATTGGAGATTTTCCCCCATTCTCCAACAGCGGCATATCGGTTGCGTAGACATAAAATAGAAGGTCGGGGGATATAGTGGCAAAGATGGGTCGAAGCCGCTCAGCGGAGCAGACGGCCCGCGTGCTCCTCTCGAATGCCGTTCGCCACGACACGTGGGAGTGCAGGGCGTCAAAAGATGGAGCGGTGGACCCGCTGCTCACACTGCGACTTGTGTGGGATGAACTGCCGCTGGAATCACCGTTTAATGACGCAGTCGCGCTGCACGTGACACTCTTCGACAGGGTGTCGTCCGCCTTCATTGGCGCGACGTACACTGCTCCCCGATTGACTGTCACCGACCCGCTCATCTTTCAAAGCCGTGGGGACAACATTCTGTTGGTGGTTGAAGTGGTGGCGCGTGATGAGCGTCCCCACGCCCCTGTTGAGGGGCGGCGCGTTGTTCTGTGGGGCTATCTCCCCGTGGCGGGGCTTAGTGCTGCGCGTTTCGTGGCGCTGCGGCCAGGGAATGCCCAGCTTCTGTATCTGAACCCCAAGTCGTGGCCCTCCGGTGGTGACGAGATGCCGCGTTTGGGGTACACCTGCACGGTTGTGGAGGATGCGGTGGTGTCGCAGCTCATGACGCGCCTTGTGCCACCCGGGATTCTGGTGCCGCAGAGCTTCACAGAGAGTGCCCCACAGGCTTCCGCCGGCTCGTTTCGTTGTGTCGTGCAGAATATTCAAGTGACACCCACGGTAGAGGATGCAGAGTGGGACAACGGTACTGCGGCGGAGTGGCGCATCGCCGCTGTTGCACACAACGGCTACCAGCAGCTCGGACAGGGCGCTGAGGTCTCGTTGGAGTTGGACAACGATGATGGAGTGTCGCCTTCCACGTCGTCGGGTGCCATCACCACCACCACCACTGCCACCACTACATCCGGTCCCAGCGCTGCCACAACCGCCAACAACAACAACAGCAGCAGCAGCAGCAACCACCACCACCACCACCACGGTGCGTTGAGGCGGCGTCTGTTGCGCTCTGTTGCTCCATTGGAAATTGACGGGCTCCCGGTGCACTCGGCGACGTCGCTGGTGCTGGCGATTCGCCGCAAGAAATTAGGGGGGAAGCGGTTCGAGGTGCTTGGATTCTGTGTTTTTCCACTATGTGTGATGCCAGTGAAGGATCGTGATCTGCGCGTGGAGAACCTTCCCACCCTTCATGGGCCATTCTCGTGTCGAGACCCGCGGATGCTAATGCTAGAATCAACCTCGCCGTACGGCAAGGTGCCGATGACGGTGACGCTAACCGTGGAGTACTACGACACAGGCTCCGCGAGTCTCTCAGAGCCACATTCTCTTACACAGTGGAAACCAGTGGACGTGGAGGATACGGTGAAACCTGCTGGCGAAAGTGAAGGCAGATCGAGACGGAGGAAGAAAACAAAAGAGAGTGTGCTGGGTGAAAATGAGCAGGTGCCTTCAGCTCCGTTTGTTCCGGCATCACAGCCCCTTGGGATTATCTCGACGGAGGATTCTGTCGAGCCACCAGCGGGTGAGGCTGCCACCACTTCTAGTGCTGCCGCGTTGCAGGCAGTGGAGCTTACTTATCCAGCAGACGCTCTGGGGAAGCAGACAGCCGAGGACCACTCCCCCATTGACATATTCAAAATGCTTTGCAATGTCATGGAGGAACTGCGCCGTCTACGAGAGGTGCAGGAGGAGGTGATGCGACACGGCCGTCCGCGTGGTGTGCCGGCTCAACGCGTAGATGAAACGGGTAGACAATTAGACGACGTCACCGGCTTTGACGTGGTAGATCTTGCGCCGAAGCCGGTGTCGATCTCCTGGGAGGTACGCTGCCAGTTGGAAGAAAACCTGCAGCCCATCCTCCACCCACTCCATGGAACCCGCCTAGATGATCACGTTCCGGCGACGGGCAGCATGACGGCGTCGCTGTACGGCATCCGCTTCGAGGGTCTCACTGTTGATGCCTCCATTTACGTGCCGGATGACGTCTGCTTCATGTTTTCCTTCGGGCCTCTACCGTTCCAGACGATTGGGCCTGTACGTGCTGCACGTATCGACAAGTCCCTCCACGTGCAGACGTTCAAGCTGTATGAGGGGACACAGCGCGGTGGGATGGTGTGGTGTGAGCCGCTTGAGGGGGCGCAGGATACCTTCCTACAGAAGTACCATAAGCAAGGAACCGCAACGCTCTACATCCACATATACGACGCCCTCACTATGTTCTACATTGGCAGCGCTGACGTGCTTCTGGCGCACTTTCGTCGTCCACACAACGCAGAGAGCGCACGCATCTCGATGGACCTTGCTTTATACCGTGACCTCAGCCTGACGGAACGGACTGTTCCGGCTAAGGTGCTCCCCATCATGCGCCACGCTGGGCAGATGCACGTGACACTGTTCTGTGTCGGTACAAGTGGGCCAGCTGAGCTGCACGTTAACACAACAGTGGAGCCGCCGCGTGGATCTCGGGTGGTTGTCGCGAAGAAGTTGCCACACGCAAGTTTAATGGAGTCACTGCCGGGCGGGGATGCAAGGACTGAGGCTGTTCCAGAGAAGCCACGTGAGGAAGGTCAAGCACCCCCCGTCGTGACGGCACCCTCAGCACCAGAGGCAGCGGCAGTAGAAGCCGCAGTGGAAGCAACACAGGGCGGTGACGGGGATCAGGACAATTTGCACTGGCGCCGTGCACAGTACGTGAAGCAACTGTACGGAAACTCGACAACACTTCCAGGTGTGCCACACGAGCATCCGCTACCGAAGGCTGATCTCGAGTTCCGTTTGCGCTACCTGGAGAAGCAGCGAGACGAGATGAAGTCGCGCAAGATTGCGGAGGCGCTGATGGAGCGCCTCACGGTGCACCACCACGTCTATGTCGCCTCCTGCAGGCCGGAGACGACGCGGACGGTGTTTCAGAACCCGTTTGGAACGGCGATGCAGTTCAGCGTGGAGGTCGACTCCGCTGCGGCCTATGCGTTGGAGGTGGCATCACCGCCGTCCTTCTACCTGGGCCCACACGAGCAGACTGATGTGCTGCTTGTGGTTCGCCTCGCCAAGTGGAAGGGCCAGCACGGCGAGCCGCTGCACCTGCGTGCGTGCGTCTACACCGACGGACGGGAGGTTGTGCGCATCGTTGACGTGCAAGCCACTATGGGGCCGCCGTTTGTGGACCGCCGCTACGAGATCTTCGGCCCGGCAGGGGCGGAGGTGTCCAAGAAGGTCTTCTCACGCCTCTTCTCTTCTTCCACGTTCCCCATTACTTCAGACCGCGCCAAGCTGCTCGCGCGGATGCGGGACGTGTGTGGGCGCGCGACCATCACGTCGGAGAGCACGACGGCGGACGTGAACGCGGTGCTCGACCCCATCACGCAGTCGTACGTCACCGCGTGGGAGGAGGTGACGCTGCACACGACAATCCCACGCGACGGTGCGGCGCAACGTGTCGAGTATCTCACCCTCTTCGAGGACGCCGCAATGAGCAAGGTGATTGAGACGTGGGAGTTGTGCATTTTCGCGTGTCAGGCCGTCACGTCGCGGGAGCTGCGGCTCGGCCAAACAACGACGGTGGCGCTCCCGGCGGCCGGCGTGGAGGCGCTTTACTGCAGCGGCGCACATGTGAAGGTGGAGCGACGGGAGAACTCCTACCTGCTGCACCTGCGGCCACAAGAGGTGGGCACGCAGCAGCTTCTACTGCACGCGCTGACAAACCAGCAGTTGGCCAAGACGCTGCTGACAGTCCCCACAGTGTACCCGGCGCCGACGTACACGCAGATGTTAGAGCTCAGCTTGGCCGACACCACGGCACCGATCTTCCGCCGTCTGCAGTTCGTCCACAATGGTACAATGGATGAGGTGTTTACTGTGCACCACAACTACAAGTATCAGCTCCAGGTGACACCCAAGCAGTTCGCACTCGCCCCTAATGACTCGCAGTTCATCACGATGCAGATTGACATGCTAAGTCTACCGGAGGGGCAGATGGAGGGACGCTGGCCAATGTGGATTTTCGTCAACAACGCCAGTGACAAGACGGTTGTCTCGTACCTGATACAAGTGGTGCTGCGCGCTCACCGTGTCATTCACGACATGTCGTAGGGGCTTCTCGGAAGACAAGTCGCGGGAGGGGGGTAGCGAAGAACAAAAAAAAAAAAACAGAAGAAAATGAATGGTTGGAATAAAGGAAGCAAGGGAACGGAAGCAGCGGTGGTGTATCGCGTTTAGCTTGCACTGGCGATGTGCGCAAATAGGCACCGTGCCTGCGTCCCACTGCTTCCCCTCCTCCACCCTCCCTCGACTCCTGGTTTCCTTTCGTTTCCTTCCCCCGTTGTATCAAGTGCATGGGGCGCTGGATTTTTCTTGTTTTCTGAGTAATCTCTCTAACCTGCCAAGGACGACTGCGGGTTACTTGTGCCATACGACATCTGCGCCCTGTCCCCTACTGAGGTCTTTAGATTTGTAGGGAGTTTGGTAGTTGTTTAGGTGCTTTGTTGCCGTCGCCCATACACATACAACCACACATACAGTTTAATTTGCACATTCCACACGGGAGAATGGAACACATTCGCAAGACAAATAAGAAATTAGGGGTTGGAGCGAGAGGCGTTGTGTATGAGGGCTACGATGAGGAGCGCGGCCGCTTCGTTGCGGTGAAGGAGATCCCCTTCTTCGACGGTGGCGGTGGCGGCGGCGGTGCAGGCACAGGCAACAGCCCCGCAGAAGGCGGAGAGGAAGAAGAGGACCCCGCATTTGTTGAAGAGCGTCGTGCCATTGTGCGGGAGATTAGTCTAATGGAGCGCTTTGAGCATCCGAACCTCGTGGCGTACTACGGAGCCCGCAGAAGTGCGGTGGGAGTGCAGATCATCATGGAGCTCGTTAACGGCGGCTCCCTCGACGCGCTCATTCGCCGCCACGGCTGCCTCCGCGAGAGCGTCGTCCGCTCGTATACGCACGATGTTTTGGAGGGGCTAGCGTACCTGCATGAGACGGCGCGAGTGTGTCACCGCGATGTAAAGCCGGCCAATGTCCTCATCACCGCGGATGGGCGGTGTAAGTTGACTGACTTTGGGGTAAGTAAGCTGCTCGATGACAACGGCACCATGCGAACAACAGTGGGGACGCCGTGGTACATGGCACCAGAGGTGGTGAACGGCAGTATAGATGATGATGTCGAGGACAACGAGGAGGTCGGCTGTAGCGGTGGTGGTGGTGGTAGTGGTGGCGTCAGCAGCAACGGGGACGGTCGCCTCAGCAGGGGTGGCGGCGGCGGCGGCGGCAGTAGCAACAGGGGCAGCTACACTACCGCAGCGGATATATGGAGCCTGGGCGTTACCGTGTTCGAGATGATATCGGGGAAGAAGCCGTTCGGGGGAGAAATGAAGAATCCTACCGCCGTGCTATTCGCAATTGCGTCAGCGAACGCCACGCCTCCACGACTGCCTGATAGTTGCGAAGCGACGCCGTCTCTGCGCGCATTTCTAGACCTCTGTTTCGTCCGTGACGCGCGGCTGCGACCGCGGGCACGTGAGCTGCTGTCACACCAATGGTTCTTCGATGTGCCTACGCCAACCTCGCGTGCAGCATCCAAAGCAGCGCCGCGCAGGAGCGGTGGCACTAACGGCGTATGTGACGGGTTACCACTGGGACCGATGCAGCGGCTGTTGCGGCCGTCGCTCAGCATGCTTGACACGGCAGACCTAATCAGCAACGACGTGCATTCACCTATGAAGGAGCTGACCCCTATGTCGCAGGAGCGGCTGTCGTTGCGGCGGCTGTCCAGCGAGAGCGGGGGGGCGTCGTTGCCGCGGGAGGCGGGTGGTGGCCGCGAAATGCAGGGCGGGTTCTGGTCTTCCGACGGGCATTACGTGGACTTAGTCGTCGCACCTCCGCTCGCTTCGCCGACTGCGAAGAGAAGAGCGCGATAAAGGCATGGGCATGCTGCTGTTTCTCCCTTTGTGGGTGTGGGTGCGCATGTGAGAGGGGCCACTGTCACACGCATGCACTCTTTCTCTCTCTCTCTCTCTCGCGCGCGCGCGCGTGATGATGGTCGATGGACATTTTTTGGCACATATGAGCCAAAGAAGTGGCACTGAGAGTCGCATATGTTGCTTCATTTCCCCCGGTCTTTTTTTTTTCTTTTCGTTTTTTTTTTTGTTTTTTGTTCTTCTTCACCTATTGACTACCTGTGAATAAGTTTACTCTGAAAGAAGGAAATAAAACGAAAAAAAAAAGAACAAAGCACGTAAGACAAACAGTTGTCGTACAGCGTCGGTGCTCTCGTTTGCGGGTCCGATATGGCTGCAACGGGGGGAATGTGATGAACGACACGTGGGGATTGCGAGTTGTTCTCATGCCAGTGGCGTTGCCAGGCCAATGCGTTGGCTCACCACATTTCCCTCAGATGTCTTCCTGCTGCCGCTTCTTTCTTTGTTTTGTCTTGAACTTCTTTCTTCGTTGCTTAATATCTGCTGCTGTGACGGCTTGCGGTGTCTGTGCTTAGCTAGGTGTGTTGACAGCTCCACCCCGACGGGATCGGCTGCGACTCGGGCCATATCGCCTTTTGCGCCGCCAGCTGCGAGTGGCCGTTGTGTAGCGATATCACGGGGGCTAACAGAAAAGGAACTTTTGAGAAGCGTGAGCGGTAGAGTGAGACAAGACACTACACGACCTGCGACGATGCGGCATGTGCGAAGGGCGTTGTCGTGGTCCTCTGCGGCCGCGCATCGCGCAGGCAGCGGCTGGGGCAACAACAATAACAACAGCAGCGGCGGCGGCAACTACGGCGGCGGTGGGTCAACGGCGATGACGGAGTTCGCCGGCAAGGCGGCGGCGCTTAAGCGCCGGCACCGTGGTAGAGGGCAGTACGACTTTGCCCGACGCGAGGCAGAGCGGTTTCTCGAGGAGGAGGTTCCCCGTGATGCGACGGGCGTCTGGATAGAAAAGGGAAACAACGCAGTGGCGTTGGCGCAGCTGCTGAGTTTTTTCGAAATCGAGCCCGACGCCGCGTTGGTGTCGCTCATCACGAACAAGCTCGTCCGCATGCTAGATGACACGAGTTGCGACAGCTCGACGCGCCTGCTCGCGGCGATTGCGTTGGTGCCGCGCAGCGAACAGCATATGGATCGCATTTTTGCTGCAGTAGAGGCTATACTTCACGAGGTAGGGAAAGGCAACAGTAGAAGCAGTGATCGTTGGGAGTTGTGGGGTGTCATTGAGCTTGCCGCAAAGGTGCTGCAGCGCGGCGGCAAGCACACACCCAGTGTGTTGAATGAATCGCTGGCGCAGATGGCCATGGCACAGTTGCAGTGTACACCAACGGAGGAGATGCCACGGCTTCAGCAATCTTTCCTGCGTGTGTATGGGTGGATGGTACGCGCTGGCAAGGTGACGGAGGCGAATCACCTCTTCGTCGCCCTTGTCGAGCACACGGGAGATTTTCACAGCTATGACTTCTCGACACTGATCAATTCGTGCCTGCGCCACCACCAGCTGTGGCCCCTACCCTTGCCGCTCCTTCACCGCATGGCACGTGCCGGTCTGATGTACTCGACCACTGCCAATGGGCGTGATGTGGCGGCTATCCTCGGCTGGATTGCGAAGGTTCTCGGATCACTGGAGCCTGGCAAGAATGATGTAACACAGCGTGACGTGTGTGAGCTTGGCGGTAGGATGAACATACTCCTTGAGGAGTATGAGCCACGTGTTTTGCGTTTCTTGGACAGCAACGATAAACTTCACTGGAGCCACTGTGATGATGTGACAACCATCGCCTTTGCGTATGAGATGGGCGGTCGGCTCCGGTACCGCCACGTTTTCGTAGCCTACCAAAGCTACGTGGCGCAAAATGTGACGCGCTTCGAGCCGCAGCAGCTCGCCATGGCGGCTGGTATTCTCCGACGCTCACAGCTATTGTCACCAGAGCTGGCGACGAAGCTTGGCGAGCGCATTGAGACAGTGCTGGGTGAGTTCTCGCTGTCGGAGATCAGCCACATCTGCGCCACATTCGCCCCAATGTCGCCGGCGTGGATGCCTGAGGCGAAGGCGGTGGCGAGCCGACTGCTGGTACCTGACTGTAGCAGCTATACACGGCTTACGCTTGCTCTCGCCTTCCCCGACGACGACACACTCCACTCGCAGATCGACTACAAAGATATATCCGGCCGCCAGCTTGTCGATGCCATGTCACTTGCGAAGGGCACGAGATTCGAGGGTCTCATCGTTGCCGAACTCACCACCCGCCTCAACGCCGCGCAGGAGCGTTTCTCACCGGATGATCTGCGTGTGCTGCAGGCATCTGGTCGGCAGGACCTTCAGGTTGCGTCGGCGGCGTACCTGTCGAGCCGCTTCGCCGAGGCGGAGTGGACGACGGACACGCTGTATAGCTTGCCCCTTGCGGCCAACATCCCTCACGCGCGTGACGCAACCAAGGCGCTGGCAGCCGCCAAGGCAGCGTCCATCTCGCCAGAACAGTTCGTCTCGCTGGTTGAACTCATCACGAGTGTCTTTGGTGAAGGGTCGGACGAGGCGATGATCTCTTTTGTGGTTACCGGTGGTATGGAGTTGCTTGGGGCGGAGCGGATTCAGTTGGGAACGGTGGTGCGATACCTTGAGGCTGTGCGCCCACTGCGCAAGATGTACCCCGGCGCGGAGTGGATCGCGCTCTTCAACGAGAGGCTGCTGCGACCGCTGCGCAACATGAAGCCAAGGGAGATGGGAAGCCTGCTGTGGTCACTGCGCGCTATTTACGGCAATGTGGCGCAGCAGCCGTTGCTGCAGCAGACCATCACCGCTATTGTTGCCGGCCCCTATAGCCAACTGACTCAACCCGATGAAGGTGCTGCGCAGGCGACCGTGTTCATAGCGCACCTGCAGAAAGGCATGTCACACCCGCAGCTGACTGAATCAACGCCGATGGCTGTGTCGGTGCGGAACAACGCCGGTGTCTTCCAGCAGGAGCTGAAGGAGGCGGTCATGAGCATGCCGTTGCCGAAGGAAGTGGAGGTGAAACGCGTCGGCCGTTTCACACTCAAGGTGACACGGGCGATGGAGACCGTCGCCCCCCCGCCTAATCCACCCTCGCAAGACGTGAATGCCGAACTTGATATGGATCCCTTCGCCACGCCTTCACCGGTGAACGCCACAGACGCAGCGGCAGCCAATACGGCTCCAGACTATTCATCCACCAAGGTGCATGGAGCCGCCCCGGAGTCCTCCACTCCCACCTCTGCGGGGAATGCCACGCCCCAGGTGGCTGCTGTGGGATCCCAAGAAACTGCCGCCGCTGTCGCTGTGAGCCCAGAGCAACAGCAGTCGCAACCACCACAACAGGAGCAGCAACTGTATCATTCCGCGGAGCCTTTTCCAGTTCCACCTTCTGCAGCACCGGAAAACATCACATCATCCGCTCAGATGGGCTCAAGGAAGTGGAGTCTTTTCGGCACATCAGCTACGGGTCCAGACACGGAGTTTCAGGAGCAGCAGACACTGTCAAACCCTTCAGTGCCTCCGGTGGCGTCGTTGGGAAGCTCACACATTGAAAGGAGTTCCACAGGATCCTCATACATGAAGCTGTTTTCACCTGATGCGTTCTTCAGTGCGTGGTCCAAGCCAGTACACCGCGACCACGACCAGCAACAGCAGCACCAGCACCTTTCGCTAGAGCAAGAACAACAACAATCCCAAGCCCAATCCCCACCACCACCACCACCACCACAACAACAACAACAACAACAACAACAGGATCCCTTAAGAGAGGAAGTGACCGTGGGTGAGACAAGGGAAGAGAAGCTGCAACCGCGTCGAACNCAACAACAACAGGATCCCTTAAGAGAGGAAGTGACCGTGGGTGAGACAAGGGAAGAGAAGCTGCAACCGCGTCGAACAAGTCTCCCCCGCCTTGACACACATACTCCTACCCCTGGCGCCAATGCCGCGACGGCTACCACACCGGCATTCAACCAGGAAACCCGTAAGTTTGGTTTTGGTGGCTGGAATGCGTCACTGAATCCAAGCGCACCGTCGATGTCAGGTTCGACGTCAGCGTGGACGACTTCGTGGGGGGCGCCTGGGCATCCCATGGCACCCGTGCAAGGAAACATGATGGAAGGACGCAACTCTGCTTGGTCGTCATTGCACATGCGGACCCCGGCGAATGCATTTGGTGCTGGCGCTGGTAGAAGCTCGTTTGGTGTAGCCACTACGCATCAACAACAACAACAACAGCAGCAACAGCAACAACAACAACAACGGCAACAGCAACCCACAAATCCTCCAGCAACGCAGCCCACGTCTCCAATGAACCGTATGGCACCACGAAGCAACGCTGCAGCCCCTGGCAATCACTTATTCTTTGATCCAACATCTAATGCGCGTCCGCGGCCTGTGATAACAAAAAAGAATCCCGCCGCGAGGTCAACGCAGCCCACATCCTCCTCGTTGGATGAGGACATCAACCAAATGTACGACAAGAATGGAAATGGGGCGAATGAGGGCATATCGAACTTTATGAAGAAAGCTGGTCTCTCAAAGATCACGGGGTACAACATGGGTTCGACGGAGACGGAGACGAGTACCAGTGATCAAAAGGGCTTCTGGGCTGAGGTTGTTAACAACAGGGTGAAGAAGTCGTCGGGTGAGTCCCCGCGGTCCTCCAATAAGCGACGTAAGAGTCTCTCTGAGTGGCTCGATGCACCGTCCGAACGTGAGGCCGCCGCTGCGGCGGCAACAGCAGCGACGACTGCAGAGAAGGGAAAACGGAGCCGTGCGCAGGTAAAGTCCGCAACCCCCGTCAAGGCCAAGCCTAACGAGAAGAGCAAGCGGGGTAGCAGCAAAGACGCAGCGACTCCGTCAGCACCGGATGTAGCAACCACATCCCCAGCAGGGACTGGAAAGGGGGCCAGTGCTGGAAAGGGAAAGGGTGCGGGTGCTAGGACGCCTGCGTCGAGGACTGCGAAGGGGGCCGCGGCAAAAGTAACAACCAAACCAGCCTCAAAGGCTCCAGCGAAGACGGCACCGAAGACCGGAGCAAAGACAGCTCTGGCCAAGGTGGTATCGAAGACGGTAGCCAAGACAGCACCAGTGAAGGCAAAGAAGCCGGACAACAAGAAGGCGCCCAAGTTAAAGAATGAGAATAAACCTGCGCCCAAAAAGCCCGTCGCAGCTGCTGCCATTGTGAAGAAGAAGCCAGCACCAAAGAAGCCTGCCAAGAAGGCAAAGGGCGGCGGTAAGAAAAAATAGAGCTTTAGGCGATAGAAGGAGCGGGGGGAGATCCCGCGCTGAGGGGCGGCTTTGTCAACCCTTGATATATTGCGCGGCATACACACATCCAATTAAGCTGTGCCATTCTGTAGGTTTAAGGAAGAGGGAAGTGGGGAGAGAGCCAGAGCAAGAAATACAAACAACAACAACAACAAGTGTGGTGGTGGAGGTGCCTCCCTGTTTTTTTTTTTTGTTTTTTTTT